TTACGGCCGTTTCTGGTCGCTGTAATGCTCGCTCTGGGTTTCGATATTTCTCTGTTTTTATAGCATGAACATAACTTATAGGTCACAGTTCAGATGAATTAGAGAGAGTTTATCGATAGATAATAATGAAATTCATGGTGATACGAATGAGCGAGAGAGTTCTGGTTTGGATAGTGGATAGGACACTGTTACTACTGAATGCCATGGTACATATACTAGTGAGCTTATAGAAGAAGAGTTTGATTCATAGAATTTTGGTGAATATGTGCTACTAATGTAATTGAAAACAAAGATTCTATTACTCAAGCTCAGATTGTTGTAGATACTTTTACATTTCCTACAACTGAAATTCCTGATGAAATTGCCCTTCATACAAATCTTTGTGTTGAATAATATTTTTATCAAAGTAAAATATAAGATCACGACAAGATTCTACTACTATAAAATTAAATCATAATTGATAGAGCATTATTAATCATACTGAATTAGGACTGTGTATTGAATTATTGATTCAATCTTGTGTGAGTCAAACCAACCACTTTAAACTATTTCTCTTTACGATTTGTAGTTTTATGTGATTTAATAAATGATTTCAATATTTACCTTGTGGTTTCAGCGTAACCTCAATCAATCTTTTTGAGAGTGTAGGTGTGGATGGGCCTATATCGTTGCAGATATGGAATATTGAGATGGAGATGAATTTTACGCAGGACTCATACACCTCACATCTACAGTCGCGCAACACTCACACCCACTGTTGAAACCATCCGCAGTCACCAAAAGCAAGAGACGTAGCGGTAACGCACAAAGCCAAAAGATTTTATCTAATGTAATGCTGCCTGAATTTTTCAAAGCACATCACTGATGAATCATTATCAAGCGGAATTACAGTATGAGATTAAGTGTGCTTCTCTCTGGGATGTTTTAGTCGTCGAAAGTCCGATCGTCTTCAAGTTGTTCACCAGAAAAAATTGTTCTTTGTTAATCTACTGGAATATCTTCATTTTCTTGAATCTTGGCATTGATACTTCCAATAGTGTTCGACCTTTCAACTTCGAAGATAATAGTTTTAACCGTGTATGGGTCTTGATAAATATGTGCATTTTCTCGGATCCCAGTTGTTAGTAGATCCAATAGAGAAAGGATAATAAATAACTAAATTGCTTGGCAAAATGAAATAATACAATAACAAGAGACTGAAAGTTTTTAGACTAACAAACGATGCAAAAGCTTTTGGACAAATGTCAAACTCTGTTAGACTATATTGCCGACTATTGAATCAATCAAACTCTTTTTTGTTACAACAAGCAATGTGTGAACGACAAAATTTGTAGCAGATATATGTTTTAAAATCGTATCTGACAAATAGGAAAAGGCTAAAAACTAAACATCTCTCAAAAGGGTTCTTGCAACTTCGCAATCGAGCAGCATCAGTTTTTAATTTCTTTCTAATACTATCATATATTGAAAGTTAGATTGATTCGTGGTATTTATAATAATAAATAGCTTTTTCTGAAAGAGAATGAGTAATTCATTAATTCGCACTACTTGGCCGTTTTATAACGATAAAAATACTTTTGAAATTATGTTTTATGCTAAATTTTTCCGATTATTTATATTTCGACCAAATAGCGCAAAAAGAACTCAAACACGTATGATTTCTGGAGATGATGTCTGATTTCTTTGTAAAAAGATGGTTCTTGCAAAAGGCTCAATTATGCAAAAATTATGTGTTTCGAACTTTTTTGATTAATGAGTCAAGAGTGGACTCGAAAACAGCTCCAAACGCTGATATCGATCGAGTTTTTGATACGCTACATTTAGAGTTGTAACTGGTAACGGTAAACGTTTGGTCAGGGCTGATAGCAAGGGGAAATCGGCGTACTTTGTATTTGAAGTTAATTTGCGCTACTTCTAAGCACTTCCAGCTACTTTAAAGTACTTTGCTCTAATTTTAAAGTACTTTATCCTATTTTAGATTACAATAGACGTTACTTTACTCTACTTTACTGTACTTGAAGTCCACCGTTTCTCCCTTGGCTGATAGGCACAATTTTTCATTACCGGCCTGGTCTAGAGTTTTTATAGTTTATGCAAGTTTTTTTCTTCCTAAAGAAAAACCGATAATAAAAGTATTTTTCTTGCAAGTTAAACAATTTTTACTGGCGTTGAAGAATATAACTGTGAGAGAACATGCATCAGAGTATTTCTAAGAAATGAAAATGCATCGCAACACACTTGATGTGTTTTATCAGCTCGCTTCGATACCACTTTAAGCTATCGAAATAAAAGCGAATAATTCTTATTGTAGTTTTTCATAAGTCTATCTGGTTTTCCTTTCATTTATAGCATTTATTTCGCGCAGGTGTACGAAACAGCAAAACAAAAAGCGAGAAACAAAGTAAATACGTCGATATTGTAGTGATTCAGAGGCACATATGACTAACTAAGGTCTTGATTTGAGTGTGAAACAACGAGAAAAGTAATCAATGACTCATGCTGGTCCGGTCCGATCGAACTGGTTTAGACCGGTGCCGGCACTGGTACAGAAGAAACTCTACCGGTTGTAATTCTGGCTACACTTTGGGATACTTTTTTATCTGCTCTGGCTTGTGCATCCTAAAATAATTGAGAAATACAGATTTTTCTAATTGCAAAAGCATTGCAAGTTGTTTTTAGAGCTTTTTAGTTTTTAGCTTTTCTTCCTTCTCAGATTCGGTCTTGAAAAATATGTCTGTTACAGAATTTGTAGTTCAGACATCGATCTGTCTAACAAAAATAATTTAATTGGTTCAGAAGTCGGCACAATGCTCTAGCAGGATTTGACAATAGCCCAAAGACTTTTACATCGCTTGTTATTCACTGTTTGCTGTTGATCAAATCAGGTGATACTAGCCGATGCTGTGACAATAAATTCTCATGTTATTTGATCACGAATCGTGAAATATTGACAACAGAATGAAAGAATACAAAGAATATCAATCGTCATCTAAGAAGCACACTAGCATCTGAAGGAAGTAAGATCCATTTTGGTCGCTCAAGAGTAATTTTGTATAATTGGTGGAGGACATCGGCTGCAGGAGTTTTATAAGAATTTTGATGAAATTGTTTTCCTTGTTCAATACAGATGACATTTTTGCGCATTCCAATCCTTTTAAGAAGAAACATGTTATGTTGACAAGTGCAGTTTGCTCTTTGCTAGGATGCTGATTTAAACAAGACATGGTATTTTGAAAAATATCATGTAGATTCTTAGAGTCTAAGTTCTATGCTCATGCAGCTTTTTAAGTTATGATAACAGGATTTAATGGGAAATTTTTACTTGAAATTCACAACTTTTGATAAACTTTCTCTCTCTTTTTCTTTTTGTTAAAGTCCAATAATGAAAATTTCTGATACAAGACATGTATTAATAAAGTTCTTTTTTAACACTGATATAAACTGCCATTAAGAAAATCTAATTCCTCCGTCAATGATAATACTCTGTCCAGTCATATAATCAGAATCTTTGCTAGCCAAGTACGACACTAAGTTTGCGACATCTCCCGGCTCACTTGTACGACCAAGAGCTATCATGTGATTTTCGTAATATTTTGCGATATCTCCTTTTTGCTTTCCTTGGATTTTTGCCACTGCTTCATCAACCATATCCGCCATCTCAGTTCTTACAATTCCTATTGCGATCTTTTGATTGATCTTTAAAGAAAAACGGTATGAAACATACCTGGGCAGTAAGCATTGACTGTAATTTTGTGTTTGGCCCATTCCAAGGCAGCGGCTTGCGTAAGGCCACGCACACCCCATTTGCTAGCACAATAATGACTCAGCATGGGAGCTGATCTGTGTCCACCGATACTGGAGGCACCTATTATTTTACCTCCCATACCTTGAGCAATCATGATTTTAGCAGCTTCTTTGTAGCAAAGAAACGCACCCCTCATATTGACTGCGAAAATCTTGTCCCAATCTTCTGTAGTTATATCAAGAATCGGTTTCACTTGGGCGATTCCTGCATTAGCGACTACGACCTGTATTATTAGCTAGACAAAGATAAAAGAACTGAGAAGAAAGAGATGCCTACGTCTAAACTGCCCAGTTCTTTTGCAGCGTTCTGCATCATTGTTTCGACTGCTTTATCAACAGAAACATCAGCAGTGATTGCCACAGATTTTCTACCTATTTTTTTGATTTCTTGTTGAACATTATTGAGAGCTGAAGAACTTGCTTTGATATCATTCACAGCAACATTGAGACCATCTCTAGCAAGACGGAGAGCAATGGCGCGTCCGATACCTCGAGCAGCACCAGTGACGAGAGCGTTGCGAGACATATTGAACAGTAAAAACTGAGAAAGAGAGAAAAATCAGAAGCAAGATCTTCATCGTTGTCTTGCAGAATAGCAATGTGAAACTTTCCATATCTTTGTAGATAGTAACATGTTTTTTTAATAACGGAAAACAACATTTTTTGTAGCTAGTAGCCTACAGTCTAGGCCGAGTTTGCCATTACTTAATAAGGAGTTTATTACGGTTACATGAAAATATCAACCTAAGAACTAGATTTTTGCACTATATCCTCTATGTGAATTACGTTCTCTGATAAATATGCATTCTGGAAAGAGAAGTGAAACAGTAGGTAGGTAGCATAATCAGTGCAGATGTGCAGTTCAAATAACTTCCTCGTTCTCAAAGAAACTTCATTCACGTTACAGTGTGTGAATTAAATGAATCGATTCAATATTGCCGGCTCTTTTTATAATAAGTAAATATATACTGAAAATTCGACGATGAAAAGATACGCATTTTTTGCCCTAGAAATTGTTATCTTTGTTTGAGTTCTTGTGTTCTTATGGTTTAAGGTGAAAAATAGTATGGTGAATTTTCTTTCTAATCAAGAAAACTTTCCTTTTGTGACAACATAAAAGATTATTATGTCGTTTTAATGGCCGACAGCAGTTCAGTCAACTGCAGATTTCCCAAAAGTTTCGCTATTCCTGAAATTCCATGCCTAGTAAAAGTGACTGCTTTATGCTGCTTTGCGAGTTTTGAACTTATGAAAATCATCGAAAGTTCGATCATTTTTTTTGAAAAAAATGCATAGTTTTTCTTCTATTTTACTTCAAAAGGTTACAAAACGATTTACAGCGGCTTTTTACCCTGATTAGATTAGCTTTCAATACAAATTTTGAAGTAAACCGATTTGAGTTCTTATAAGCTTTTATTCTTTTTGAACTCTATTCGTATGCGGCAATATGATGTCGGAAAACAAATAAATAAATAATGAAAACATGCATTCTTTCCTTACGGCGATGGACGTGAACTACGGCAAAACATATTAAAAATACTTGAGAGATCTTTTCTGAACTAATATGTAAGTTACGAACTAGAGCGAAATTAGTCATATTTCAAGACGCTCTTTCTCGGTTGGAATGCAGATAGAAGGCAAAATAATGCATGAAAACTAATTTACATTATTTTTTGTTGATACTGTGCTTGTGGTGGAAGAAATGGTGAGGAACTGGTCATTTTTTTCTTCCACGATAATATTTCTTCTGATTTACAAACTGTTTTTTAAGTCTCATTATCGACAATGCTTTAACTATTTGCTGATGTGTTTGAATGACATTTAAATTTTAACCTGTGATAAAAACACTTGATTAGAACTCTCATCGCTACATACAAAGGATGGGTGATATAGACTTACGCATACAATACGACATCGAACTATGAATACAAGTATTGTTTAGATGTCTGGAAGATAATGAGTACCCGGTTTATGTGAGGTATTCTAGCTGTTAACATATGCGAGTAGGTGAAGCAATATTAGTGATTTAAACTTTTTCATTGAGTATTTCAAGCATTCTATTCGGCTATTATCAGCAAAATCACGATCAAACAATAATAAAATCATCCATTTACATACTTTATCAATGAGTATACAATGGCTTCTATAGAACGAACAAATGAAAGAGATGCACACGTGGCTTACTCTTTGTAATATCAAACATTTGAAACTGATAAGAGTGAATTGTGTTCGCATACCTTCTAGCTTGCTCTATACAAGCTATTGCGTACGACCAAAAAATATATATCTCAACCGCACGCATGCAAAATCCATTGTTTGTGACGCGATGATTTGGATAACATGGCATCGCTCAATAATCATTGCAATGTATTTAAGAAAGGGGTTTACCAAAATGGTTCATATTTTCTCCAACTTTCCATAACACATTTGGTTCGCCCAAAGTAAAATCCCGATTATGAAAATAATTTTGAATTTTCTTGAATATGTCGGAGATTGTAAAAGCAGGACGAGGCGTCAATCTCAGAAGCTAAAATAAGCAATAAGTTTTTATTTATTTGATAGTTGTTGACATATTTCATCGTTTTCCTGATACTGAAACGTCATGAATGAACGATGGTATCACTTTTGGAATAGCAAGCATGCTTTTTCGTCCGATCTCGGTTCCGACGACGAAATCTGCTCAACGATTTGCATATTTTACTTGGTTTTGCTGGATACATTCTTGTGGTTTGCTTATTAATAAGTTGGTGCTTTCTTATTCGAAATAATGACATTGAATCTTTGCATTATTCATGCCATAAGTCAAACAGAGATTACTGATAGGTCTTATGATCGAGTCTACGTGACGTATAAGATCGTCTATTTCCATTTCATTGATTAGTAATCCAAACACAAAGACACTTCACACCTCTCCCACCCTTTAAATTTAAACGTAGCTCAGGTACCTTTTATTTTGATTGTGAACTTTTTGAAGATAACCGAATCAATAAGTCGAAACACCCAATAGAGAAATTTGAATTAACTGTATTGCTTTATCTATTGATTGTTCAGACTTAATCCATAAAAGTATTTCATGTTGATTTAGACCAAACGCTTATAGTACTATGAGCGTTTCATTTCAGATACGTACAGAAGTGTTAAGAAACTCTTTGTAACAAAGGAGAGTATATATATATCTGAACTTTCAATTTTTCGACATGTTGTATACGAAATGTGATACCCGAATAATTAACTATCTTCAGGAGGATCTTATAGAGAGAGTTAGCGTCGATTCGTGCAAGACGAGATTTGCTTGAAGTGCAAAGATCTATAAAGGACGAACATGTAGTTGCGCTATGGCCATAGTTTGACAAGAGATTCAACATTGAGAAGTTTTGTTCATCGAATTAATATTTACATGACAATATTTTTATCACAAAAAAAACAAAGAAAAACTCAATAAGAAGTACAAGTTTAAATAGTGCTCATCGAGTAGCTGATCTGAGAGAAAGTATATTGTTCAAATTGTTTAGATTGATTGACGATCGATGTTCAGACATAACGAGTCCACTCCTACTAAATTCACGTTGAACTGATGCTATTGTTGCAGGAATGCAATGGATCATTCGGATCAATTTGGACAATAATGGCAGATTTTTCTGGTTTGCCTTCCAGAATACTAAAGGATTATCGACAATGAGTTCAGCATCGATACGCATTAATAAATATTTGTTGACTTTTTCTTCTGTTTCACCATATTTATCACTAAGATCACCTGATTCATATTCTTGATCAAAGCTTTTCTTTTTCTTGAGAGATGGTTCAGCAGCATCGTTTTGCTCAATCACTCATTCTGGTTGTCGGTTAAGTCGCAAATGTTTTAATTTTTCACGTTCAACTATTTCTTTAATTTGTCTGCGAGCATAACTTCTGCAAGAGCTAATTTCAACATTCGATCATTTTCGAAGATATCGATATCTTGGATATAGGAATGCTGCTACAAAATGAATAGGTACCAAGACAAACATAGATTCGAGTAATTCGAGCAGCCGAAGCCTAAAGAAGCGAATATCTGGCAGCGAAGAATAGTTTTCTTTCAATTTTCATCAAAATGTTCACCTGTCATAATAATCTAATTTACCATCCGATTCCTTCGATTCCAAATCATACTGATCATCAGCAGTTTCATTGTTTCTTTTTAATTGATGTTTCATGATGTTCTTTGTTGAACTTGATCAAGTTTTCGAAGGAATTCAAGGTCTTGCGCAAGGTTAATACACAAATAGGAACTAAATACAATGATGCTTCATTTTATTTTTGTATCACAGTGATGATATACCGGAAAGGACGTAATAAAAGGATAAGACGTTTGACAATCCATCGACTAACTGCAAAGGATTTCTTCTTCTCCTGTAATTTTTTTTTCTTTGAAAGAACGATCGATTCAATTCAAATAGTTACATTATCTAAAGCCAACAAACTTCGGTTGGTTGACATAAACTAATGCCATCTTCAGATTGAATATCCTTGTTAAGTTCATTTTACAAAATGAGAAAAACAAGTGAACATTTGTTCCTTCGTTGGCTCACCAATTCAACATATTTCACACTATCTTTCCAATTGTTCAACACTTTCAGAACTTCTCGAGCACAAATAGGTAGATCCTTCATGTTTGTTTTTGCTACATTAACAAACACTATTTCATCAATATGACTATCGAAATAGAGCGATTGACTTGATCTTCTAAACTAAATACTTCTCCGTCTATTAACTCAGAAGAGCTTGTCTGAGCCTTGATTGACTTATTTTGGAAGAAGCATAGCACCAAGATATTGTTCAGTCGATGAGCAAAACAAAAATACATAAAATAATTCTTCAGTGCTTTGATCAAGTTCGGACCTCGGTCGCTCACAAATTTCAGAACAGATAAATCAACAATATCAAATATTTTTGCCATGCCTAAGCAATACAAATAATTCGAGTGATAAGAGAAAAAGATACTTACTGCAAGAATACTTTCAGCAGTTTTGTCCTCTTCTTCAAAAAGAGAGCAGCAAATATCGTACGATCGAAATTACAATTGATCATTGACGAATGTAGTGGCGATGCCCAGATAAAAAATTTGATGAACAGGATCACTTCACATGTCGGGACAAAGGGCAATAGTATCATTTTCAAGAGGTTCGAGTAGTCCTTCGCTGATACTAGCTGGATGTGGGTGTGGGTTTGAGTCTTCTGTTACTCCATTCTCTTGCCCACACCCACACCCATACTTTATAACAGCTTAGGAAACATCTACTTGAGCAAAAATAACTATTACAAAGCGCTGGAAATCTATAAAAAAGTGCTGGATTTTGGTCAAGCACATGATAATATCGTCAACGTTTGTCACTTTTTGAAAGACCATTCAAGAGCATGGAACAGCTATGAAAAAGCCCCGGATATCGCAAAAATATGTTTACCTTCAGCACATCTCGATCTATCAGAAGTTTACAGAAATCTTGTACAAGTCTATAGTGATAGTAATAATCATCTGATGTCCTTGAT